CTCTCCTCAAAGGCCTCCAGAAGGCGGTGGTCCAGGATGTTCTCGATCGGCTCCCATGTGTTGTGTCTGAAAGGCAAGAACGGCAGCGTCAGTCGCGGGAGCACAGCGGCCAGATCGAGGCTTTCGCGTGCTCTGTGTACAATATTCCATGTGCTGTATGCGGAGTAGGACTTACTTGTTGGACCAGCCCTTCCACTTGACCAGATACTCCACCCGCCCCTGCAACGGAAACCAAAACAAGTGAGTCGAGTCCCTAAGGACCGTTTTACTTTTCAAAATCTTAGAGTATTTTCAGGCTATTAAACTCTCTAAGCGTTACCACGTACCCTCCTCACTCTCTTCTTCTGTATGCATTCTGCGGCATACACCCTATCACCCACTAACGAAAGCTCCATGGTTTATCACTAGGGGAAGAACGTAAGCGTCCTCTCCCCGCCACAGTTCCACTCAGACTGAGACTGTGAGGCGCCTCGCTCGAGTACTACGTCACTGCAGGGCTGCCAACATGAGAGGCATCGAGCGTATTTTAGTTTCCAATCATATACACTATACTCTCAACGTGTTTAAGGTTATATGCGCTATTCTATCGGTTTATTTCTATACATTATCAACGCATCATGTAAATAGTTGCGTCTTGATTAGGATTTTATCGATCCTATACATGAAAAAACATTCGTCGTAGTGAGTCACTGGGAAGGTACGACATTTTTCCGAACGTGTCTCGTACCTTCGTGAAGGATCTCCCAACTCGGAAGTAAAAGGACCCCGTCACTGCGCCGTTTGTTTACATCGCATTCCTTTCATAATTCAAAAACTGTTATTCGCGCACCACATTCTTAGAATTCGAATTAATAAACTAGAATTATCAAATCTTGTCTCCATCAGCTGATCACCATCGCAGTCGCTTCTAGAAAGGCGAGAATGCAAACAGCCGCCGAATATACCAATAACGAGAATTCAACAAAAAATCCAAGGAGGGAAGGAAGGGGAAACTTCTGCCTGGGTGTGTGTGGGGAAGGGGGGGGGGGGACAAAATGGCCAGAAAAAAGGGGAGAGTACTAGAGTGGGATAATGTGAGGTATACTGTATGGCCAGGCTGCGGCGCATCTGAGAAGTGCGGAAGACCCACTTTCACATCGTGTAGGGTCGGTGTGGGGACTGCTTTGAAGCCGAGTTAGCATTTACCTTCCTTCGCAACCATTCGGCGAGGTTCAACGCCGCGCTAATAGATAAACCTAAATATAATGTATTAGATTATTAATTTATTGCATTATTTTCTCGTGGATGACTCCTAATACTACGTCGTAAAAACGCAATTCCATTACAATACCTACGCTTTGCATAGTATAAAAAATATTCATACCAGAAAATCCTATCTTAAACTATCATCTACTATGTGTGTATATCAAATTTATTACTTTTTGAAGCTGCAAACGTGTGGTTTAAATGGCCAAATATATTGCTGGGAAAGTTTCCATGGTAACTAGTGTGTTATAATTTTCTCTCTCGTGCTTCAGGTTAGCCACAAAATGGCGCTTGGGAAACTAATATTTGCTTATTTATTGGTCCTTTACCCTAAAATATAATTGCTACGCAAAATAGATATAACCAAAAGCGCATCATTTGCGCAACCAGCGTTTCCTAAGGCCCGTAAACCATAGGTCAGAGGCGTTCCCCTATTAGCTTCGCGCCTCGCGTCGGCCTGCAGTCGCTGCCCCGCCAGAGCTGCACATCAGCCTTGTTACAAATTAGCAGCCGGTAAATCCAGTTTTTAGATCCGTCTATAATTACTTCAAATGCCCCGACGCAAACATATAGCCTGAGTTTCAAATTTTTCCAGTACAATCCGATGTAGTCCAAACATCTGTACTAAAATGCGTTGGGTGAGTTGTTAAAGTTTTTCATTGGCTCATGTTTGTTTTTTGTTTAATTTAAGTGTTGACATTTTTTTTTTACATTAGTTACATGTACAGTTTATACACTAGGGTACTTGGAATCTTAACCGACTGTATTCTCTAATGTTTGTGCATGTAAATAGATTGTCGAACGATTTTGAAAGTATACACATGCATATTCATGCGCATGTACTTGTACTACTTAGCGTGGAACGTTCAGATTAGTAAAAAAAAAAAAAAGATGTATGACAGAATTGCTCTTTACTTAAATCCACGTTCAGAAGTAATTTCCTTCTTGCATCCTCTGTGATCCTTCACTTGAACGAAAAATAAGATTTACAAGAGCCGCGCAGATTTTATCAGAATTGCCGCTAATGCAATGAAATTAACTGGCTGATAGAGAACAGACTTATCGGCGATGTTGTGTCTCGCCTTCTCTTTTTACATGCTCATCTTCCTAACACTTCTATACATTTGCATATTCATAAACAACGTCCGAGTGTTTTCATTTTCCCAGAAAAAGAGAGATCGAATTCGAAGCAGTCGAATCTTACACTTTGAGTAAACGCGTCCACGTCGCTTCTTTTAAACAGTCGAAGGGCTCA